CGCTCGGGGGACACGGCCGGCCGGCCCGCGCCGTAGCCGCCCTCCGCCTCCGCCGGGACCGTCTGCAGGAAGTGCAGGCCGGAGCTGGTGAGCGGCGTCTCGATCAGGTCCTGCCAGGAGCGCCGCTCGCGGTGCGAGGACCGGCTGCCCTCCTCCGTCGAGGAGTGCGAGTACGTGGATTCGCTGGAGAAGTGGCGGCCGTGCTTGGGCTCGGGGAACGGGCTGGACGAGTTCACCTGGCCGGGGGGGGGAGCGAGAGGTCTGCTCAGCCCTGCGGCGGGGGGCTCCCAGCTCTGACCCCAGCACCTTGGGCAGACAGCCCAGGCCTAGACGGGTCTAAGAAGCCACTTCGCATGAGTTTTGTGTTTTGTTTCTGGTTGCAAGTCCAGGGTCTTATTTCAATGCCACGGTTAAAGCTCGTCTTATTGATGAACTCTTAAGTCCACGAAGGGCTTGATTGTGTCACCCCGGGCTCTGCTGGAACATAAACCAGCAAGTGTGTGTGTGTGTGTGTGTGTGTGCGTGCGTGCGTGCGTGCGTGCGTGCGTGCGTGCGTGCGTGCGTGCGTGCGTCCGTCACCCGGGCTGGGACTGGGATCCACTGCTTTAGAGCCAAACTTGAAAATATTGCTGTTAAAGGCACCCAGGAACAGACAGCAATCATTTAAATGATCGTTCTATCATCTGTACGGTCTTTTCATCAACAAGGATCACAATACGCTTCACATATAGGAGGGACCCACTTCACCAACCACTGACGAACAGCACTAACTACACAACAGGAATTATTTCATACATATGTGGAATTTAGGAAGAAATTTAAGGAGGCCAGGCTAAACAATTCCTGAGTGGAATTCAGCCAGGATGTCTGAGTTATTACCTTTACAGTTAAATGATAGTTCTAGCATGTGTACGGTCTTTTCATCCCCAGGGATCACAATATGCTTGTCAAGACGAAAGTGCGCCACCTACTGGTCCACAGCAACAACCTATTTTTTCCTTAGCGGTCTCTCTTTCCAGGACTGACCAGACACAACTTTGCTTTGCATCTAAGATCTGATATGATCTCATGCCTCTAGTGTGAGAAACACAGGAAATAGATTCAGTATGTGTGTAAAATATTTTTCATGAGTTTGTCTGTGGAAAGATGGAACGTTTTTCTCTATCGATATTTATGTTTTACTTCAGTACACCAGATTAGTCCTCACTCTCACTGGTCATACAGCACCATCTAGTGGTATAGATGCCCAAACCATCTACAGATTGCAAGTAGGTTAAAAACAGGGTAGGCAGATAGACTGACCAAGATGTTTTATTCAAGCTAAAAGCTGCAAGCGCTTTTGGATTATCAGATGATTGGAACAAAAGCTGGAAAAAAAGTACATATCACGCTCCCATGCCGTATGCCTTTATCAAGCTGAAAGCATTACATAATAAATAATAAAAATCTGAATTTCAACTTTTCTAGCAGAACAGCTGATACGCTGTGCCATACTGTGAAGTAGTGAGTCTCTGTGCACCTGTGCGTCCGTGTGTTTATGTTCAGACACAAACATATGGGCTGCGGTGTGGAGCAGAGTACTGGAACCATATGGGGGAGATTCTGTGTTCTGTATTCATGCCGCAGGTGAGACACTGCTGTTGTACCTCTGAGCAAGGCACTTCACCTGAACTGATCCAGTGAAATACCCAGCCGAGTAGATAAATACAAACGGAAGCAGCTATGGATACAATGCCAGCCTCATATATGGAAATATAATATGCAATATCTGCAATGTCTTTTATACGCTTGCTACATTACATTAAACGCCAGGGTGCAAACCCTTATTCGGACCCCAGCTGTGTGTGCTTGTGCGTGAGGCGTGAGTGGCACTCACAGAGGACGTGCGGTGATAGGTGTCGCACAGGGAGGAGGGCCCCTCCTGTTTGAGGGTGAGGGACCCATCGATGTCGTCCTGGTCGCTCTCACTCCAGTAATCTGGAACACAGGGTTCAGGAATGACAGCGGTGAGCCACCGAGAAAGGAGTCGGGCCGCCAGCAGCAGGGTGAAACATCAGGACATTTCTCAAACACCTCAGGCTAATCAGAACTCGCAGCATATATAGAACATCCACCCATCCATTTTCTAACCTCTTTATCCATAACAGAACTGAGGTTTTATGGGGGGCTTGGGGGGGGGGGAGATTTTCAATCCCCGGTTCGTCTCACGCAGTGCTCACCTTCATCGGGCCGCGGGACTTTGTCGTCGGGGGTGTAGCCGATCGCCGCCAGGCCCAGCCGGTTCATCCACCTGTGAGGAAAGGGTTCGACAGGTGAGCCGCATTCAGAACCCCCCCGAGGTTCCTGGGAGGTGGGGTTTCTGTCACAGGCGGGTCGGGGACAGGAGCTTCCAAAAGCCCCTTCAACAGTGAAATAATGAGAAACAACAGCCCTGTCAAAGCTGTGGGAAACATCGGTAATGGTGTGATTAAGTGAGGACAAGCGTGGAGTTTTTCAGCGCCGCTCACAGTCACAGAGACAGCAGCAGGCCACCGCGTTTCACTGCCGAGGGAACACAAACACTCATTCCCCTCCCGCGGCTGGAATGAGGCTCCCGGATGTCTGCCGTGCTGCACTGCTGAACAGTCAGGAGCGCTGTGCTGTACCAGCCACCCCTCCTTCCCGCTGGCACAGCTCTCTGACGCCCCCCAGCTGCAGAGGCTGGATCCGACACCCTGTTTGGTGGCCTGACAGCGGCCACACGGTGATTAAGGGTCAGAGCCCATTTAACTAATAATAATTCCTTACACTTTTGGTAGTGCTTTTCTGGACACTCCACTCAAAGCGCTTTACAGGTAATGGGGACTCCCCCCCCACCACCACCAGTGTGCAGCCCCACCTGGATGATGTGACAACAGCCAGAGTGTGCCAGTATTCTCACCATTCACAGTGGGGGAGGAGAACAGAGCGATGAAGCCAGTTCAGAGATGGGGGTTATTAGGAGGCCATGTCTGGTAAAGGCCAGAGGGAAACATTTGGCCAGGATGCCAAATTTCTGATGTTTATTAAGGGACGCCCACTCCTGATGTGTCTGTGGGCACACCAGAGCAGGGGGAGTCAATTTCTTCAAGCCTGCAACTCTTCATTATTAACTTGTCTGTTCTTTATGATAACTGCACCGGCATGTTGACCTGCACAGACTGTTCGGAGTGTTAGCGTGATGGGGCTCTAAAGAAAGCAAGACAGACCAGCCCATGCCTCCAGCACCTGTATGTCCAGCTGAGGAAGCCAGGAAATTATTACGAGGCACTGCTCTTGGCTACTGCACTGTGAACAAAGAGAAGTAGCGACAGGGAAAGGTTTATAACGTGCGCTGTAAGGCTGCTCCATCACAGAGAAGATCAGAAACAAGGGGAAAATCACATTTCTTCTGCTAAACTAGCTCCTCTCACAACACATCTCTTTACCCTCTCCCATCCTCTCCTCTTTCCTCGTCAGTTATTCCTCGGCCTCCTTCCGTCTCTCCCTCAGTATGACAGAACAAAGGGAATTCTTCATCAACCCAAACACGGTACGGCAACGCAGTAATGAGGAGAAATCCATAAATTATAAAGCAAGAAAAGGACTCAATTAGAGCAAAAAGAAAGAGTAAAACAGAGAAATGTGCACGCACAAAATCGTAACTGCTGACCTAAATGATTTTTTCCATTTCTGTTTTTTTCTTGCACTGTTCTTTGCAATCATATCTTTGCAGAGCGGCATCAAAAGAACTCTGCTTTTGATTTTATATTCATTTGAAGATGGAAAGATGGAGTGTGGAGAGTAGGCACGCTCCCAGCAGCAATCTGGGGAGACCTGCTTTTCTGGGAGAAAGTGATGATGACCCCTGGAACAGTAGTGCTGTACTGCACCTTAAACACTCGTGAGAACAGATATCAGCCAAAGGGAGGGAAAGAATAGGCCATTCAGCTTATCTAGCTCATGTGGTAGACAGTACACAGCCAATTCTTCAAAGAAGCTGGGGGATTGACTTCAACCACATGGCTGGGTAGCTTGATCCATACTCCCACAACTCTTGGTGCAAAGACATGCCTCCTGTTCTTGGTTAAAAGAGCACTTCCACGTAGTTTCTGCTTGTGTCCTCTGGTTCTAAAGCAAGCGCGTAAAATTCCCATTAATGGGAAACAAAAACGGTAGGAAAAAAAGCATCGGCGAAGCAGCTACTGAAAGGGATTGAGTAAATCATTCGGTAAGATAGTCTGCTCGTCGACTTTTTTCCCCCTTCATAAAAGAGTGCTCAGCTACGGCGCTGATCATCCACCGGTAAAGGGAAGGAATGAGAGGAGAGAAGGAATCACAACAGGAGGAATGCCAGCTGTTTCCAGCTGCAAGGGACAGGTGAAGATTTCATGGTACGACGTGCCCGGATGGAGGCCCGTTTGTCAGCCAGGGCAGACCGAGCAGCCGGCTCCTTTACTACACTGGAGCACATTTTTGATTTGAAGCCATATTGATTAACATGAAAAGGAAAGTTAAAAAAATGCCCGACTTTGAAGTGGAGATGGACAGGATTTGTTTGGAAAATCTGAAGTATACTCGAGGACTGAATTGTCTTGGGTTTTTGAAGACTGACTAGGTTGTTAAACCTCCACCCGAGTGAGAAACAACATACTTAATGAAATATGCTTTATTTAAGGTCCAAACACCCTGTAGTATTTCTTTCCATTATGAACTCCCCCCCCCCACCTCTCATTTTTAACCGTACCTTACAGTTCATCACTACTGGCACAAACAAAAAGATGCTCTTGCCCTTTTTTTAATTTCAATTTTCAGGCAAACGTTGATTCTATGTTCGAAAAAGGGCAACACAATCAATTTTTCTTAAGGAAGCTCAAGCCATTTAAGATGGCTAATTCACTGATGATCATGTTTTATCAGTCTTTCACCGAGTCTGCCTGAACATTTGCCCTGATCTGCTGGTTCGGGAAGGGCTTGAATCCGAGGAGCAAGTACAAACAGGGTTGTCTTGTCTAGGTATGCCAGGAAGTCATTTGTGCTGATCTTTCTCGTCTGCCCCACGTCTCTGAACTATGAGTCTTACGTAAAGTCTATTCCATCTTAGAGGACCCTTCACACCCTTTGTTTAATGATTTCCAATTTCTCCCATCAGAACAGATACAGACTTCGCGATCTAAAAACAAACATACTTAAGTTCTCATTCATACCTGCAGCCATAACCCTGCTCGGCAGAGGATCCCCTTGTGCATGTCTACCGTGTATGTCATGTTTATTTGTTGTGCGGTCTTCTTTATATTGTCAGCTGCTGCAAAACAAATTGCCCCCTGGGGATAATGAAGTCTCTCTCTTTCCCTCTCTACTCTGCTCAACCACTTTCAAGCCTGGCTTGATCTGCAGTCACACTAAAAAATGATTTTTTTTTTAATGAAGAAAACACCTCTGCTGAGAACCAGATATATTCTTGTACCTCTCACAGCTTTCAGTTTCAATGTCACCGCCGAAGGAAAATGTAAAAAAAAAATACATAAAGGTCGATTAGCCTGCTGTCATGAACAGACATGAAACAATATCATTTGTACCAGATTGTGATCCTTCTAAACTTCACCACACGGATACACAGAGCTGCTCTAGCTGCCAGCACTCGAAAATATGGCTGGGCGTGTGCTGGTGGGCAGGGAATGTCTTCTTTTCTGATTTCAGCACCGCGGAGAGCTCCACGCGCCACAGGCAGGCAGAACAGGGAGCAAAAATCGTAACTGTGGAGGAGAGAGTGTGCAATCTCCTTTGGCTGAAGCTGGTTTATCGGGTTTACGGCTCAGGCTCAGAGGACTTAATGCCAACGGGAAAACATGGGGCTCTTGGAGAGTGTGCTGCAGTATCGACTTTGCTCACAGGAAGTCCGGAGGGCCTGCCCAGATCTGCAGGAGCTCCGAGGCAGACAAGACCGGGATGGAGCGTCAAAGCACTCTCCGAGTTTTATTTTCCTGGAGCGCTAAGCCCGAAATTAATCTTTCGTGTCACAATCTTCAAAGATCTTCCGGAAGCAGAGTTTGTTCCCCTTGGACGGGCTAAGCCACAGGTTACACGGAAGATTCACGAGCTTGTTGGAATAGAGGGCACTGCTGTGAGGGATCACGAGGGAACGGGAGAGCACGAAGAGGGAATCGAACCTATTACTTCTCACACGTGCTGCTGAATACTTCTCCTCGCACTGCTAATGAGAGTTTACCTGGACCTGCAACAATCCCACTTCTTTTAATGGTTTTTAAAAAGTATTTATTAAAGATTGAAGAGATCTGTAATGGGGACCAGGGTCCCGATCGCAGCCCCTGACCTCTTCTTAGACATTGTGAGACGTTCCCAGTGGGGGAGGTGAGGATGAGAGGGGGTGTCATGTAAACGGTTTTTGTCTGATGGCTTTACTTTATTGCAATATTAACGAGCCATCACATGCTTGTGTGCACAACAAGGCAGGCGTCCACACCAGAATACAAACTCCCCTGCATTTCAGAATGAGCTGTTTTATCACAAGACAATAATGTAACTGCTGGCTTAGAGGACAGACTTTCAAAAGCCATCAGCACAGCCGCAAACAGGAATATAATCTGTCTTTCTGTACTTTACCTGTGAGCTGTGAAGCAGAGGGAGCTGAAAAACACCATGCAGTGATGTAATTGTAATTTAAGTGTTTGTTTTCGATCCTCTCAGGTATTCACCTAGCTGAACAGTGCTCTGCAAAGCAGGGTGTATAGAAATAAATTATTATTTGCTTGTCAGTTGTTTTTCCTCTGGCCTCGGGAGCACTGTGCACATGTGCTCCCAGGCTGAGCGTTAATTTTGCAGCAGGTTTTCCACAGCCTGCGGATGGAAGAGAGTGCACCCTGCGAGGGTACTGCGACTGGAGTGCTGGGGCAGCACAGCTCTTGGCATCAGGATGTGTCCCGTTGAACTACAGCAGCTCTGCCAGAAGGGGGCACTGTTCCCGAATGGCCATGGGTGTTTTAGGTTTGCAACACACTGGAGTTCGGTGCCTATTGTCCCACTGCTGCAGATTTTTTCAACACTCATACCTGCTGAGTTGAGGAAACTGGTTCGACATGGGATAGTTGAAATTAAGTGGGCAGTCAGCACTGACTCAGCCTTCCTTCTGGAGACAGCGGGGAGCCAAGTCCTCTCATGGCTCTTTGGCATCTGCCAATCATGGAAAAGTATCCCAGCAGGAAACCCAATCTTCTGTCTCTCACAGAAGTCATTTCACTGAACATCACTTCAGACGCCTATCACTGTGCCTTTCAGGTATAGACATGGCACCATCCAGGAGCTAAATGAATTAAAAATCTACAGGGGAATGGACAGTCTTTGTATAGGACCACCTCCATTGTAAACGATACTACAGAGATGTCATGACTTTTAACAAGAGTGATCTCTCCTTTTTTTATATGTTGGTGGTGAAACAGAGCAGATCTGCAGCAGTTTTTCCTGAATTCCACTCTCCAGTCTGGGAATTAAGGGAAGGAAGAGCACAGCCTCACCTGTTCATCTCCTCCAGGCAGTCGGTGGCGAAAAAGAAACTCTTGATTTTGGGATGACAGGCTTTAAAGGCACTGCAGAGGAGGACGAGAAGGAGAGAGAGAATCAAAGAGGGGCACGTTAATAAAAAAAAAGCATTGTCCTTCTTTTACATCACCCTGCTTTCATAGCATGTATCCCCACTCAAAAGGTTTTGAGCCAATGTGTTCTTCCTCTGTCGCACCATCCCTGCTTATTCTACAACTTCACTGCTCCTGATAACAGCCACAGGAATCTATTAGACCATAAGCCGAAGCAAAGACGTCTATGTCTTTCTAATCTCTAGAAACTGAACAGGTATAACGTTTTAACCTTCTTGCTCGAGACGTCCCTGTGCCAAAGTCCCTCAAACACAGAGCAGAGAAAGGCACGCTCTGTGAGTGCCCTGCCATTCAGGCTCTGACGTCAGCACTGGCCCTCAACCCCACGGCCAGCTGCTCTTGTGTTTCTGGTTAAACAGCCGCCAATCGGCGCCACAGCTGAGTCTGCCTGCTCCTGCCAGGGAGACAGTGCACTCTGCCCATCTGTCTGCAAACTGACCCGAAACACAGCTTTTAATGCAACCTCTCAGGTGGAAAGATCACTCCGGGAGAACACAGCTCTCTTACCAAAATAAGCAAATACTATATTTAGCGCTCATCACAAAATAGAAAAAAAAAAAAGAAAAGCCTGTCTGATCTTCTCTCTGAAATACTCCTGCGCTTGCAGCCCTCTGAGACAGCCAAGGCAAGAAAGGTGAAGCAAGCCTCTAGATAACCCTTTCAGAGGGATGTATACAAGTAGGGCAGAGTCTCGTTAAACAAAACGAACTGTCCTGTACTGTACTGTATATTCTACATCAATAAACAAAAGGCCCCAGAATACTTACAATTTCCGTCTGCATTCTATTGCTCTGTCTATCCTGAACTCCGGCAGGCTGATGAACCCTTCAGCCTTCTCGTCCTGGGGAAGGGGGAGAGAAACGAAGAGCGACAGGGTTAAAAAGGGGTCTAAAGCAGAAAGGGAGCGCATCTGTTCTTTTGCATCACATGAACTTTCAGATTCCTTGACCGCACCAAAAGCCGCAAGGCGCTTAGTATTGGTATCTGATGGACAGTGTTGTGCAGCCAGACTTCCTTCATCATACAATAGTTCTCAAAAGCATTAGCTTCTTCCCAGGTCTCATGATATTCCAAACCACAGGTGCCAGTTGTTTTTTCTCCCCTGTGAGTAGGGCTTGATCATGGAGTAAAGAAAACCACGCACAGCTCAGTCTCTGTGGTCTGGGAAGAGAGAGTGTCACCGACATAGCCGGTGTAGCCACAGATCCCCTGTGCATGAATCTGCTCCTCCCCGAACTGAGCCCTCCAGCACTGAGAGCTCTTCTTGAATCATGCAAAGGAACAAGTACTTTCTGAAGGATCTGAACTTGCTGAAAGCAAAAGCAGACAGAAGAAACTCAACAGCAGGTGTGTCCCCAGGTGTGAGCAAGAAGGCTCAATGGCCGAATCCTTACATGTTCTTACACGTGTATAGCTGACACAGCTGCCCGCTCCAGCCTTTATAAAGCATCCCCAGCAAACATGATTAGAGATCAAGCAATTTAGTAATTAATTTAGTTGTAGTTGAGAGCTAAACTGAACTGAGGAGAAGTGAGTGGCCCCTGAGGAAGAGTCAGGACCCCTGTGCCCTTATCTTCAAACCTTAGGGAAACAAAGCTGATGGGCAGGTTTGTCTCCAGTTTGCCCCCAGCGGGGAACCGCAGTCAGGGTCAGGCGGGCGGACTCACGTTCTGGTTGGTGTACCAGTAGAGAGAGGAGTCCTTCAGGATGAACCAGTACTTCTTCCACTTCTGCGTGAAGTAGCCCTTGGCATCCTTCTTCTTCCAGAGCCAGCCCTCGCAGTCTCCATGCCCCAGGTCCTTGCAGGAGATCCTCCGGCGGCTCCCGCTGGTTAGAGAGCCTGCTTGTGGTGGGGGAGAGACTGTAAACTATGAGAAATGGCCGAACCCGGAACAGCCACTTTCTCCTCTGTCGAACCCAGCTCCCAGCACCAGGACCTGGGTTCCTCCTGGTCTCTCAGCTCTCCATGCTGAGACACACACACACCCCTGCATGGCCCCCACAATCAATGTGCTGCTGGGCTGCAGCTTCCTGGGTTATACCTAAGACACATACCCCCACCCCCCTGCAGCCCTGCAGGGCCCCCACAATCTCCGCTCTGTCAGCCTGCCCCCCCCACTTCCCTTGGTTATACCCGAGACAGACATCACCCTCCCCGCCCAGCAGAGCCTCGGTCACACACTCACACTGCCACAGACACACGGGGGGCTCTCAGAAGCCCCCCACTCTCGCGTACCTTTTGTCCTCTTTTTGGTTTTAGTCCTTAAGGAGGCGTAGTGAAATGACTGGAGACAGAAGGGAGAAGAAGAAAAAAAGAGAGAGAGAGAGAGAGACGAGTTATTCACTTGAGCCAAAGGCAGAGATTTTGTAGTCAGGCTCTGCCACCCTGCAGATCATGGACGATATCCGCTGGACTCCAGAAGCCTGCCGGCTGCCAAGCATCCCTGGCACTGCCACACCAAGCAGTATTTTCCATGCCCTACTTTTGTACTTGTAGTGAGTGTTCTAGCAAAACAGGCCACTGCACAGTTACCACACTGGGCTGGGTGTGGGGGGGCAGGGGGTATACTTCCGTCTCTGCGGGTTTTTTTTTTACAAGACCCTGGACAAAACTCCTGTTCATGTTGTTCATCTGATTTCCAACATACAGCCTGGGCTCGATGCTGTGAATGCAGCTGACTGAATGCATTCTCCAGGACGCTGAGACTGCCCTGCGTAGTTACAGCTATGTGCATATGATGGAGCTGGTTTCAGATTTTTCACTCGTCAGCTTAAAACCCCTTTTTTCTCCTCCCCCTGCGAGCTCAGAGCCCATTAGACCAGCACAGGAGAGCAACGCAGAGTGAGGAGTCATTACGATACAGGCAGAGACCCCCAGAGACCCCTCTCCCCTTACTTCTCTTCAGCATCACCAGGGTCCAGCCTCAACAGCCAATTAAAGGGTTTAATAAGGTTTGGGCTGAGTGGGATGTTAAGCCAACCTTGGCTGGCATCTGTGATCAAACCTACTCGTTGCTTATCCGAACTGCACGGCTCTCTAACCGCAGGCCAGGGCAAGGAATAAACTGGACAACGAGTGCATGTCCGCCTGTCCTCTCAAGCAAGTGCTTTTTAAAAGACGAAACAATTGCTTTTCAGGTTGCCTGCCTGCTGGGCTCTTGAAGCATTTCAATATCTTACTATTATGTAAATTTTAAAGATATAATAAGATAAGATCACTTTATTAGCTCTGTACAATTTCTTGCATTAGGAATTTGTCTCTTCGCATACCCCAGCTTGCTCTCCATGAGACACAGACACACAGACAGGGAGAGAGAAGCTTGGGGTCAGAGCGCAGGGTCAGCCATTGTACAGCACCCCTGGAGCAGTTGGGGTGAAGGGCCTTGCTCAGGGGCCCAACGGAGTAAGATTCCTCTGCCGGCCGCGGGATTTGAACCAGTAAACTTCCAGCCACAGGCGCAGATCCTGAGCCACAGAGCCACTGCTCCGCCCCTTCATAGCTGATGGTCTAATGATCTTTTCTTTGTTGATATTTGTTACATTCCTTCTGCATTTTTCTGAATTTCTGTTAAAAAAGGAATTCTGGTCCACTAAATATGAAGCTGCAAGGCTCCTTTGACAGCGAGTGGTTGTCAAGTGTCTGTTTTCAGTGAACGCTTGGCTTTGTGCTGGTCAGAAGCAAATCCGAGTAAAACAAGACCTTTCCGGGAGTCTACAAGGCATAAGCTCAACACTCAGCTCAGCTGGTCCCTGCACTGTGAATGCCAGCGCGGGAAGAGAGCTCACCTTCCTCATGGATGTACCTCCTTGTCGCTCTACGCCAGAACTAGCATACCTGCGGAGAGCATGGAAAAGGGAGACAGGTCAAAAGAGAGGAGGAGAACGTTAGAGGCTGCCAGACAGACAAACGCAGAGCACCGCGTTTCGACCCACCCCCTCCCTGCAGAACGAAACCCCGAGACAGTGCTTTTGGACAGATGAAAGTAACCTCTGGGTGCTGCTACCGGGAGACACATCTGGAATTTGGCCGGAGGACAGATGTGCTAGTTTAAGCACAACCAGTGAACAGAACAGAAATAAAAAAACACTTTTCCCTTATCCTGACCTAGGTATGTTTTTTTTTTTTTTTTTAGCTGTAACCTTTAAAGTTTTTATAGCAGGGGATGCGTTTTGTTGTGGAGTGACACCCAGATTTTTAAGCCTCTCTCTCTCTCTCTCTTTGGAAATCGCGTTCGGTACCAACAATCAGTGAAATTCTTCTCAGAACGAACAGGGGTCAGGAAAAAAAAAAAAGCTCCCTTGAAATGAGCCCTCCTCTCAGTTTCCTGTCAGAACACACGGCGCACACAACAAGCCTTGATCGCGAACAGCCTGAGCCGGAGCGCTGTAAAATAAAGCAAATACAAACGTATTTATCGGCGCTCGTCTTTCCAGGGACTGTTGCAGCAGAGAGGCTTGGTGTCCAATTAGATGCCAGACAGATGGCTTCTCTCCTGTTTTGCGAGGATGCTGTGGTAATCTCTCTAACACATCACTCCATTAACTCTGTGGGACTGGCACACTGGCAGCGATTCCTCTGCCCTGTGCCTCTCACCGCCTCCAGAGCGCAAACAAGAGAGAGAAGCGCGCTGTTTCGGATCCCCCCGCCTCGCGCCGGGCGAAGGCTGCTGCCTCGCTTCCTCGGTCCCGCCGCCGATCCCTGGAATTCTCTCCCGGGGGGATATCGGAAACATTCATTCCCGCCCTGCCAGGCCAGGCCTGCTCCTTGCCAGCACCTCTGGAGGGCCTGCGCTGAGATCCAGCTGAGCCAGCCTCGGCAAACTCGAATGCCACAGGCGGACAAGTAGGGGGCACTCTTACCTCTGAAGGGGAATTCCCGAACCGGTGACCCCACAATGGTGTGAGAACACACTGGGGCATTACACTGATTTATTAGTGGTTGATCTGATCATAGTGTTTAGAAGAGTGGGGCTGCGACCCCTGGTGATTAAATTCTGCTCTGAGCTTGCACACAGTTCCCCCTTAACTCAACTGGAGAAGGAGTGTCTCACTCCTCCACCTGAACTGGAGTGCACTGGGGCTGCTGGGGCACAATGTCCACTGTGTCACCCAGGTGGGGGCTCCTCTGCAGTGCTGGAGGAAATGGGTCCCTTCCTATATGCACTGTACAGTGCTTGGGGGGGGTCCTTTAGGATGAAAATCACTAGGCAAATACAAGCAATTCTCATTCTAATTATTTATTAAGACAGCGTATTGAGATAAGAATAGTCATTAGCCACAGTATGGAGAAAAAACTGAAACAGGATCCATTTAACCTCTGAATCTGCACACAGACAGACATGCAACAACCTCTACAACCTCTTGGTTCTATATCTCTCTTCAATATCCAAAGGGCTTTGGAATCCAGTGGTATGACGAGTGTTACAGTATAAAGGTGCAATCAAAAGGATAAGATCTCTTATTTAAGATCATTGCAACCTTGGAATGAAATGAAATGCCATCAGAAGAAAAATCATAAAAAACAAAAAAAATAAAAAGGAAATACTTTAATGATTTAAAAAAGACCTCTTTGGAAAGCTGTGAATTAGAAATAAAGGGCTTATGGCACGTAGGAAACCCTTCAAAACTGCTTGTTTCCTCCCCAGCCAACATGACATCATTCGCTTTTCTATTTTTGTTGAAAAAGGAAAACGTTCCTCGCTTTGTGTTGTTTGTGCTGCTCTGGTGGAAACTGAACAAAGTCAAAGTTGCAACAAAAAGGGAAAAAAAACTCCAAAAATGACATTCAGGAGAACCCACGTTGGAAACGATAAAGTGGTTATCATGGTTAATTCTCTTAGGAGCCCAGCAAAACCCACAGAGGGTGACAGGAAGCAAGAGGCAGCTTTTTCAGCCACAGACAGAAGACTCAAGGAGATGAGGATACTGCGCTGAGAGAGACAGTCACGAGCCTCCTTGACCTTAGCACCCGCCATCGCTGTCAAAATAGCTGTCAAGTTTTTTTAAAAGCAATACCCCAAGAGGACATTCAAAAGCTCAGAGGAACACCTAATTACGTCTAGGAGAACATCCTTTATTTTCCTTGCTCACCATAAAACCAATTGTATTTTCATAGCTGTAACCTTCCAGGATGCCTCATCTGTCTTATCAACTTCTTTGTCCCTACTCTCGATGTCTATATACACTGAGAGACATTGAAAATGCAACACATGAACATTGGAATCCAACATCTTTTTTTTTGTTGCATTTTTAAGGACTGTCACTACATGCTGTATATATCCAGTTTCTTGGTCATTAACTGTCTTATTCCAGTCTCTGTGGTCAGATGATTTTCGGTTCATCAATCGGCTCTTGTCCGATCAAATGTCATTTAAGACATTTGATCGGACAAGAGCAAAGTCTTGCGCACAGAGCTGACGAGAGACCAGGGGCCATAGATTGCTGTGATCACCTTTCAGTGTGTCAGCAGCTCAGTGTGACTCAGCCACCATGCTGACAGGAAACAAGCATGCTGAAAAAAGAGAATTACTGTGTTTCTCTGGAGTATGACCTCCAGACACCAATATTTGATCTCAGTTCCTGGCAGGAGAGAATTAGCAGGGGTTATTTCAAGGATTAGCAAAGGTAACCCCACAAAAGACATCCGACAGATTGTTTTTCAAAGCTTTCATTTTTTGCAAAACCTATCACAGTTTTTTCCGCCAAAATGGATTTTCAGCAGAAATTTTCAAATACATTCTTATGAGAACACAAATATTGTTTATCTGTCCAATTTTCACTCTGTTGGCAGATGTGTTTCTAGATTACATTCAGAGAACAGAAAAGGGATAGAAAAATTCATTCAGGTGCACAAAGGTTTAGAAGTCCACACACCAACTGTAGGCCTGAATCCTCACAGCACAGCACACTCTCACATCAGTGTCACTGTCCTCTCGCTGGTGCCTTGGACACTAATGACAACATCAGTCAGTGTAATATCAGTGTCTCATCCAGACTGTACATCTCACAACATATTCAGATTAAAACATCCATTCATGTCTCTCTTCAAAAATGACTGGGCTCAGCCAGATGAACAGACCTCAAGCCTCGGGTTAGTCATAAACGAACAAGCACTATGCACAAGCTCGGCCTGACTCAAACGGAAATGAATAAAGATGGTTACAGAGAAACACCCTCCTGTTTTCCTTTAATGATATCAAAAGAAAAACCTTTTTGTTGCCTTACTTTTTAAGGACAAGATTCAACATTTTGGGGGGGGTTTATTTCTGCCTGAAAAAAAGGGAGATAATATTCTGGCTAACTTTTGTAAAATAACACACTTACTGCATATCAACACATTTGAATTTGTTGGACTGTATAGCTTTTAATAACACTCCATCAGCCACACTTGCAACTGGTTCTATTCCAGTCTGTCCCCATTCTACAGCTAATAAAAATATGTTCAATACCGCAGAGAAGCACCGCAAACCAACTCGAGCCAGCTGCAATTCACAGTGGGTTCTCAAGAGGTTGATCAGATCTGTCACGAGCTCTGTCCGGGCTGACGAGCCCCCTCCTTCTGTCTGACTGCTTCCATGCCCCCCGTTCTCACTCAGAGAGGACCCCCGAAAAAGAGGCGCGCTCACCTGTCCGATTCCCCTGCGCGCAGCGTGTCCCCGGCTCTCTGCGAAAATAAAAAAAAAAGACAGAGCAGAGGATGAAGGGAGGCCGAGACTGGGGTGGCAGTCGGGTCACGGAACGCGAGCAAGCCCACACTTCCTGCCTCTCGGCGCGCAGGGGAGTGATGTCACTCTGACACCGGGGATGTGGTGAGCAAAGAGATGGGTGGCGGTGCCGGTAGTGCAGCAGGAACAGCCCCGTCGCAGGCAGCTGGGGGGCCTGTTATTTAACCGCGGGGGTGGGGGTGGTGGGGAGCATGAGAAGGGGTGGTTTTCGGAACACCTCGGTAACTTCCACGCCAATAAGTGACGAGTAAACAAAAAGCTATCAGTGTGCAAGCAACATTTCCATCTGATCACTACCCCCCCCCCCATCCAACTTCCAGTCCAATTCAGGGTCGCGGGGTTGAGCTGGCGTCTATCCCAGCCAGCAACGGGCGCAAAGGCAGGGTACACCCTGGATGGGACGCCAGTCCATCACAGGGAAGACGCACGGATCTCGCACATTCACACCAGGCCCAATTTTCCCAAAAGCCTACCAGCATGGTTTTGGACAGTGGGAGGAAACCAGGGCAACTGGAGGAAACCCACAAAAAAACACGAGGGGAACATGCAAACTCCACACAGATGGCATTCTGTGAACTGAACCCAGGGCCCTGGCGCAGCGAGGCAGCAATGATGGCTACTGCGCCACCCTGATGCCCCAATATCCCTGCCATCCAGTAGGAATATAAAAAGTGCTCAAGTAGAGCACAGAGCAGTGATCTTTAAACGAAGGGTCAAGTCCTGTCAGCCTGAAAGTCGCTTCACACTGAAGACGGCTCCGGGCTTCTCCCCCCTGAGGCAGGAACCTCTGAGAAAGCTAACAACGGACATGAGCTATCAGCGCAGAGAGACTACCGCGCTTATTTCACACAGAAGAGCACGCGCTCCTAAAGCCGGGGTCTCGGGCTGAGTTCCTGGGGGAGCTAATCAGGGCCTTCTGATTTTTGTTCCAGCCAAGCTTTCAGTGAAAGAGTTAGTCTAATTATTTAATTAACCGCATAATCATAAAATACTATTGGTAACTGTATTTCTAATGAAGTGAGTAGTCTGCTGCAAGGTATATTGGGAAAAATCTTGTCTAAAGAAGAAAATAAGAAAGTTAGTTGTCTAATTGACTATGCAGAAGATACTAGGCCTTCCAGGAAATTAGCTTGAGACCCATGATCTAAGAGACACACAGGGTTTATGACATCCAAATCTGGAAAAATGCCTCTATATAATACAATACATATTGTAATACTGTATAGTACTGATATGCTATTATTACGTTCTCAGTATGTCTCATACTGTGTGTTTTTTTAGTACTGTATGTATGTGCTATTTATTGGATGGGTGGCTCCAGGTCAGTATGATTCCGCTTCTGAATAATTCAGAAACTGCACGCCCTCTGATCTCTCTCCACGACCTGCAGATGAAGAGAGGCTGGCAGCCGGGGGGTCCGCACCAGACTCCCACCTCAGCCAGCCCTCTCCAGCTGTGTGGAGCAGAGTAAACGACTTCTTAAAGCCGGGGTCTTAAAATAGCCCTCCTTAACAGCCTGGAGCATTCGCGTTGTTCTGCTGGTCGTCGTGCCGGGACCCAGCGGGTTACATAACAACCATGTATCCTCCCAAATACCACCGCACTGCCCTATTTAAAACACAGCGGAAACCTACAGGGAAAAGCATTTCGTACATGCTACAGTAAGCATGTGTATTCATGCATGGCCTAACGGCCACCACAGCCTAAAGTTTCCATTAGTGCAAGATTTCCATCACTCATAAGGCAGAAATGAGAGAAAATTGTCAAGTCGATTCGTTCCACCTCCAAAACTGAATTCACAATGATTTAGTCATAATGAGGTTACTGCATAACGAACCTCTAAATTCAGGTGACAAATAATAGTAGGTACAGCACATATATGTGTTATAAAAGGTATACGTCTCTCACAAGGAACACCGTTTTTAAAAACCATTTCAGAAACAGGCAAGAACATACCATTTCCATCACAGTTTCAAGTTCCACTATTAACACCCCATCCCATTACAAATCTACCAGTACTCTTTATTTTAATTAATTTCATTATTTTCATTTATTATGACTCATTATTGTCATTTACTGTATTTATTCCAGTAAAAATGCCTCCTACCCAGGGGCTCTCCAGGAAATTCCACATTTCCTTATTCTCAGCTTTTAAGACTCAGATGTCATTGCAGTGAAAATAAAGACTTTCGAAGCAAAGGTGAGGATATGTGTTGCCGCTTTTGTAAATTGTGGTTGTGCACAGACATAATTCTGAGTACTGTAACAGTAAACAGCTTTAACCAACAGGAAGAAACTTACAGACAGCAAATTTCCTTTAATCACTAATACACCAACATAAAAATACACAGATTGTGCAGAGGAGCTTCAAAATTCTAAAGCACCAATTGTTTAAAACTCCACAGCTAATTTCATACAGAAGGGACAAGAAACTAAAGTAATACTTAGTCTGTAGCAACATTTATCATTCTGGAAAGGCACTTTATCATGCATTAGACCAAGATGTACCATCAGCAAATACATCAATACCTGTGCAAGTATCAGACGCCCTAAATCATGAGCTGTCATTTACCAGGCCTCTATGTGCAAATGCAAGGGCGTACTGGAGAAACTAAAAGATGATTAGCTGATCACTTTGTGGAACATATTCTTTACAAAGCATTCAAATGAATGCCACAGTACTTCCAGATGCCTGACACTTCAATATCAATAGTCACACTGCTGTATACATTGTTATCAGTAGAATGACCCGGACCTTTGACCCGGGGCTTCGAAACCCCTTGGAATAAATATTCTATTATGACACCATCAAATAATCATGCACAACATTCTGAGCAACGGGTTTGTTGTAGACTGGGTACATTTCCTTCTCAACAGCTAGAAGAATTCTGTCCAAAATGTCTTGAAATGTACATTTTGACAAAGAAAATCTAACAAAAATCTATCTAATCTAAAAAGCTCAAGTCTGTGTACATCACAAAAACTTCTCCCTTTAAAGGTATGGGAAACACTCAGTGATTCAGAGACAAATATCCTGATATCATTTTAATGTCCCATTCTGCTTTGTGCCCAACCAGGAATACAGAGAGTGGATGCACTGATCAAGTCCTTTCAAAACGTATTGCATGCATCTCCAAATCTTTGACTGCCGACTCGTGAAAGGCACAAGGGGAAAACATGAACCAAGCAATTATTTCCGCCTGAGGAGCGTGACTGCTGCCTTACCCAGAATGCCTCCCACACTTCCTCCGTTCACTGAACTCCCATTGTCGGGAATCTCCCAGTGTCCCGGAGGGCTCTGGGGGAGCCAGTCTCCCCAGAGCTGCACCAGGAGTCCATCCCTCCAGCCAGTCTACTGAAAACACACAGCAGCTCAGCAATGAATCAAAGCTGGTGGCTGCGGGACATAATTCTGTGCTGCCGAGAAATCTGGCCCCCACAGAGGGATGTGTGCATCAGCCCCGCCGAGAACGGCTTTACTGATAGCCTGCATCACTGTTTCTCTTACTCTTCAGCACAGCAGCCCTTGGTTTCACGGACTTCAGAATTAACTGAGAAATTCTGCTAAAGGGGATTTTTCTCTCTAAAATTTGACATTTTTTTTCCCTGCAGTAATGGGGAAACGTGCAAATTAAAACAAGGTAAAAAGAACGACTACATGGGTTTAAAATTCAGGGATTTCAATGGTGCCCTGAACCGGCAGGTCAATTTCTTACAATGGGTCTTTGTTGCATTTTGTATCCTTGAGTTAATTTTATAGGGTGTTTTTACAACGCATGAAATAAGCAACTTGTATATTTATGACAAAAAAGGCACAGAAACAATTTCAATTGAGTGTGGTAATAACCATTGTTAAATATGTTAAGAGATCCATAAAGCTCATATACAGTACATATATGTTTAAGCATAAAAATATTGTGTGGGTGGCCCAGTGGTGCAGTGGTGAGCACTGCAGCCCCTCAGCGCTGGAGACCTGGGTTCCGTTCTGGTCCTGGGGTGCTGTCTGTGTGGATTCTTCCCACAGCCCAAAGTCATACAGGTAGGTTAACCGGCTTCTGGGAAAACTGTCACAAGCGTGAGTGTGTGTGTCAGCGTGTGCCCTGTGATGGACTGGTGTCCTTGCCCAAGGTGTACCCTGCCTTGTGACTGTTGCTTGCTGGGACAGGCTCTGGCACCCCTGCGACCCGGAACTGGTTGAAGCGGTAAGACAATGGCTGGGATGGGTAATATTTTGCGTTTGGGCTGAAAATACTGCCCGAGAAAACTCTTCCGCTCGATGAGTCCGTTAAACCAAGGGTTTACTGTATTCTGACGCTGCCATTCCGACTTTTTCCCTGCTTCTCTCTAGAGGCTTGAACCAGTGGTTCGCTGTGACCCCACTGTGGGCAAAGATGAGGGGCCTTACCCTGATCCAGGGGCCTCACCCCTGCGGCAGACCGACCCCGACCGACAGGGGCTGAACCCTGAAACGAGCGCGGCCCATTTTCCCGGCTCTTCCGAAGGGGGCGGGGCCGGGTCAGAAACGGAGCTGCGCGGGAGCAGCTTATGGAAACCGAAGCCTGGTGGCTTCAAGCGTGACGCGTGCCGACAGCGTTCAAAACCCATCCGGTAACTTTTCGCTCGCTCCACGTCTTGCCCCAGCGCACTCAGCAGTTCTCGGGGGGGCCCAGACCGGCGGTGGGGTGCCAGGTCTAATCTTACTCCGACGCCAGTGCCCACCAGGCGGGGGACTCATCGGGCAGCAGACTGGCTCAGCCACTCCCTGCCCATGACAAAAAGGCGCTGAGGCCACACTGGAAAGAAAACAGGATGTTCCATTCCCTGTTGTGGGAGTTATTGCTCGGTGTGTGAAGCCAATGGCGACGTTCATGAATAAAAATCACATTTTTAAAAATCACAACAAAGGTTGGGAGGGAGGAGGAGTGAGAGGCAGGAGCAGGGGACAGAAAGAGAGGCCAATCAAGAGGTGTGAAGTCAGAATTGGTGTAGAGAGGTGTGAAATGAAACTTCCAATGAATGGAGAAAATTTAAAAGAACAGTAATCTGTCGTTAAGGGAAGGGAGAATGTGTGATCCTAGCTGCAGAATAA